GAAAGGCTCTTGTATATTTCATAGGCTCAAAGAAAATAACCAGTAGAGACACATATGCTTTGGCATGAGGGTCAGGTTAATTATAGTGACAAGGTTCTAGAAGAGGCAGGAAGAGAATGGGACTCAGAGCAGAGTTTGGCCTTAGAACAAAGGGAAGAGACAGACCTCTCCAAATGAGTCTATGTTCTTGTCATTTCCTCTCCTATTCATGCCTTACATTTATTGGTCTAGTGTGCAACTAAACATCCACAGCTGTACTCACAGCAGCTCTCAAGTTAGAACCTTCTTCATCACCTTTTATTGACCATGTGCCAGGCGATTTATATACCGTCATCTCACGAGAAGCCTACAATTGTCATTCCCATCTTAGAGATGAGGAGTGAGGGAAAAGATTTTATAATTTTTTTAAGCCTTTTAGTACTGTTTGACTTTTTCCTAGAATAGGGGCTCTTTTAACTGACCATTACTTAACTGAGGGGTAAAATCCACTGAATCTGGCCTGCTCCCTGTCCTTGGCAGGCAAGCTCTTCCTTAACACACTTTACACTTAAGCACAAATTGTTTGATCACCTGGCCAACCTTATGTCCAAATTCTACCAGGTAGAAGACTTCCTACGACATGTTCATTTTAAAATAAAAACAAGGGGCGCCTGGGTGGCGCAGTCGGTTAAGCGTCCGACTTCAGCCAGGTCACGATCTCGCGGTCCGTGAGTTCGAGCCCCGCGTCGGGCTCTGGGCTGATGGCTCAGAGCCTGGAGCCTGCTTCCGATTCTGTGTCTCCCTCTCTCTCTGCCCCTCGCCTGTTCATGCTCTGTCTCTCTCTGTCCCAAAAATAAATAAACGTTGAAAAAAAAAATTGAAAAAAATAAAATAAAATAAAATAAAAAAACTTGTACAAAGGACCTGGCATTTCTAATAAAAATTTCCACTAATAGGGGTACCTGGCTGGCTCAGTCAGTAGAGCATGTGACACTTGATCTTGAGGTTATGAGTTCAAGCCCCACATTGAGTGTGGAGATTACTTAAAAATAAATCTTAAGGGCGCCTGGGTGGCTCAGTCGGTTGGACAGCCAACTCTTGATTTCAGCTCAGGTCATGATCCCACGGTTGTGAGATCAAGGCCCGCATTGGGGTCTGCACTCACAGCATGGAGCCAGCCCACTTCGGATCCTCTGTCTCCCTCTCTCTGCCTGTCCCCACTCAGGCTCGCGTGCATACTTTCTCTCTCTAAAAAATAAATAAATGTTAAGAAAATTTTTTTTTAATCTTAAAAAACATTCCCACTAATAAAAAGCAACAAGAACTAATGTTAGTGCTGAGGTGATGACTCAGTCTTCTTGGTGACAGGTGAGGTCACTGGATGGGTCTGGATGCAAATGAGAATTTAACTCCTCTAATCCATTCCCCACACAGTAGCTGGTAGCCTCTTTAGGATCTCTGTGGTCTGATCATGCCCTTGCTTCCTTCCTTGGTGTCCCATGCCCTCAGGACAGAGTCCAGACATCTTCAGGGAGGGGGGCTTACTAGACGTTATGATCAGGCTATTTATCTCTCCAGATTAAAGGGCTATCCCTATCCCATACCACCCCCTCGCCTACTTCCCCCACTGTCCCACTCCCCACCCAGCTACAGCCACACTGATCTTAAGTTGTGCTCTCTTTGCCTCTCTGAGACTTTGCACCGGCAATTTTCCCTGCCTGAACTGTTGCCCTTTCCCTTCTTCATCTCGCTAGATCCCAGACCTCATCATTCAGGCTCATCAGTTAAGATGTCATTGCTTCCAGGAAGTCTTCCCACCTTCCGTACCTAGGTGTTCTCATAGCACCTGTACTTTCCCCACTAAAGCTCTTGCTGGTCTCCAAAAAACCACACTTCCTAACATTTGTCTTCCCCTCTGCACTGATTGTGGGCTGACTCTATGAACTGCTTTAGCCAACAGGGTATAGGTGCAGGTTCCAGGTCTAAAACTCAAGAAGCCTGGCAGCTTACACTTTTGTACATTCAGAAGCTCTGAGCCACCATTTAAGTTCAGCTACTCAGTTGGGACGGCCCTGAGACTACATGGAGAAGGAAAGAGGCTCAGCTGTTCCAGTGTCCTGGTTGAGCCTTCATAGGACTCCAGCTGCAGCTCAGGTGCCCTCTGACTGCTACCTCACGAGAGACCTGAAGTGAGACCAGCAGAATTGCCCAGCTGAGCCCAGTCAACTCACAGAACTGTGAGAGATAATAATTGTTTTAAGCCACTAAATTTCAGAGAATTTGTATGCTGTACCAAGACACCATTCTGTATTTTATTTGTCTACTGAGTGTGTCTGCCCTGCTAGACTATTTTCTCTGTGAAGGCAGGGACCACGTCCATTTTTTAAAAATTGTTATATACCGGGACATTCTCTAGCACAGAATAAGCACGAAAATATTTGATTAATGTAAACTGAGACTCAACAACAAAAAATGTCTGGAACACTGGCTGTGATGAGTATACAGTGTCATGAACAAAAGGTAATGAAGTGGCTATCTGGGCAGTAGGTTCCTGATGTTAAGTTAGACAGCTTATCTCTGTAGAAGGACTGGGTCAAATTGACTGGGCCACAAGCCAACAACGGGGAGCAACCTTGGGAGCTGAAGAAGAGAATGGCCAATGGTTTTAGCAAAGCCAAAGGCACGGGAACAAAGTTGTCATTCTGATGGCACTCCTCTGGGCAACACTGAATAGGTGATCTGCTGTGCCAGTGAGACTTCAGCTGCCCTTGCCATCTACACAGTGGTTAGTTGTTTAGATTTCTAGGAACAGATGTCATAATGTCATTTCACACGTGGAAACAGACACCTCATCTTCACAATTTTTCAACCAGCTTCAAACATGAAGGGCCCTTCAATGTTTGTATATGGAATGAATACGTTCCTACCCAAATCAATAAATCCCTGATTGGGGTCTGGTGCTCTTGTCTGTAACTATCATCAGCACAAGGTGTCCAGTCAACAGACATGTTTGACAGTTTGTGTCAAGCTCTATGCGGGACACAAAATGGGAAAATGTCATCCCTGCCCCGGGGGAAAGAACTGGGGAGACTAGACTTACACAAATGAGACAATTAAATAACAGGACAACATATAATTACTGCTAAATTGTGTGGCAATAAATTAAGTGGTAAGGAACTGGGAAAAGCGGAGAGCAGCGAGGGCTCCAATAGTTGGGGAGTATTCACTGAAGAGCTGGATGTGGCCGAGCCTCAGGGCATGAAAGCAACTGCAGACAAGCTGGCAGGAAAAAAGGTGCAGAAGTCCAGGGACAAAGAACAGACCCAAATCAGCTATTTTGGGGCAGCAACACAAGGAATGTGAAAGGTGCCTGCCCCAAATCCCAAAGCAAGTGTATCTCTGAACCCAGTTTCCCAATATTTGTACTCCTAGGCCTTTATTTATTGTTTTTTCCTGCTTGCAATGGCTTTCTCCCTTCTCCACCTAGGAAACTCTTTCTCATATGTAAAGATGCAGCTCAAATGCAATGACTTTTTTGAATCTTTCCTCAGTATCCCATAGCCCAGTATTCACGATTCTATTGCAACAGATCTATTGTTTTTCCCTACACACCTCCTCTGCCACTGCAATTAATAGCAACTTACATTTATTAGGCTCTTCCTATGTGCTAGGGGCTCTGCTAACCATTTAAATGCATTATTGAATCCTCACAACAATTTCATGAGGTATTTTTTCCTCCTATTTTATAGATGAAGAACCTGAGGCTTAAGATTGTTAACTGCTATAGAACACATAGCTAGGAAGTAAGAAAGCTATTATTCAAAGCAATTGTGGAACTCCAGAGGCCATTCTTAAAACACCGGACCAAGTGTTCCTCGAGGCCACAAATGCTCTTTACTCATCTGTCTTCTCAGATTCTATGATGGGGACTGCCACATGGCTCAAAAACTGATGAACAAATACAACTGTCCTATCACAAAACCAGGTCTAAAAGGTGACCCCAGTAAGCTGTTAGCCCAGGTGTAGACTTCTTCCCAACCAGAAGTCATGTACCTGGGGGAAAGAAGGAGGAAGGATGTCTAAGTACCTTAGATTTGAACTTGAAGTCCTTTATTTCATATATTCACATTTGGTGAAAGAAGAACCATTCTCTTCCACACAAAAGAATGCATAGATAACACTGGCTGGGTCTGAGCATGAGGGCTCTGATTAACAGGTGTTGGGGGGTCGGTGGGGGGACGGTCTCCTCTTAGGTATTTCGAAAGCAACTCAAGTTGTTCCTGTAGCGCCAGGAAGGACTACTCGAGATCCCTCCATCTATCTGATCCTATCATGGCGCAAGCTGAGGCCCAGACAGGGGAAAAGGTCGTACAGTGGCTGCACGGTACACACAAGATGAGCCAGAGCTAGAACCCCGGAATCACAACGCTGCCTGCGCAGTTTTTTAACGCCTACCCCGTCGGTCCCAGCCCGAATCTCCTAGTCGAGGGCCTTGGACTGGAAAAGCGCGGACTACGGGCCTCTCTTGTTGGACCCTAGCGCTCCTCTCCGCCCACTGGCTGTGCTTACTACCGCCTCGTCCAGGCGCGGGGCTGGGGTACACTATTCCCCTTTTCGCGTCTCCACGGTGTCTGCAAGGTCGTCCTGCGCTACCGAGGCCGCCCTTAGCCCCGCCTCTCCACAGTCCAGTTTCCGACTCGGTTCGGCTTCGCCACCTGCGACTCCACCCCCACCCCCCCACCGCTGAGCGTTCTCCCCACTCTCTTGCGGGCGGCAAGCGACGCCTCTTCCAGGGTAGGCCGGGCCCACGTCCATGCCCTTGCCGCAGTTCACCTCCCAGCCAGCCCCCACTTCCTTTCGCGCAGCGCCGGCCTTCCGGCTAGGCTCCTTTCTAATTGGCTGGCTGGAAGCTTCCTCGGGACTCGGCCGTTCGGAGGGCGCGACAGCGGCCTCTCTAGCCGCCGCCCGTAGGTCTGGCCTCGCTCTTTGGACTGCGAGCTCTCTATGCTGTTGGCGACGACATGTGGCGCCTCCCGGGATTCCTGGGCAGAGGTAGGGGGGCGTCGGAGCCGCGCGTCGAGAAGCAGCTGAAACTCCAAACTGGAGAAGGGCGGGCCGGAGGACTGAGCCGAAGCCTGAGCGGGCTGGGTTAAAGCTGAGGAAAGGCGGGGCCCACGGGGGCGGGGCTACGCCCGCTGGTCAGGGGCTGCTGGAATTTGAGGTGTGAATGGGGCTCGTGGGGAAGAGGGTGGAGCTTAGGGCCACGGAGATGGGTGGGGCTATCTAAAGGGGGAGGGGTCAAATGGCTGGTGTTCCGAATTCGTGAAAGGTGGGTAGTGGCCAATGGAGTGCGGAACCAATGAAAAGAGGCAAGATTTAGAGTCAGGGCGCTCCAAACATTGAGCGAGAGTTTGCGTAGGAATGTCTGGTAATTTCATAATGGTGGTTGTCAGCCCTGGGAGGACATCAGAGTCACCCGGGGAGCATTTTCAGAATATGCCCTGGATGATCCTGATTTATTGGCCTGGGTGGCACCTCAGAAACTGTACTAGGCAAAAGATTCCCACTTATATCCTTGTTTAAGAACTTACGCAGTGGCAGATGCCAGTGATTCCTGGGTTCCAGGAGTGGGGCTCTGTCAAGGAACAGAGGGAAGATTGGTGGGGCCGTTCATGTTGAGATGATTGATCTTTGTTATTATACATAGCTCTTCCCCGTCTGCTGGGACCCGGCTTCCGGGGGCTGACTCCAAAGTCTACCAACCCAAATGAGCCTCAGGCTGCCTCCTCCACTCTGCTGGTCCCTGTCCCCAGCTTTGACAGGTGAGATATTACCATTCCGTCACCCATCCCTTCCCCTTACCCCCTACTCCTTCCACTTGGGATATAACTTGATGGCTTTTCTTGCCTCATCTAGGTCAGGCCCCCATGGCCCAGGCCCAGGCACGAACAGGGGCCCAAGGTCTCATGGATGGAAGGATGCCTTCCAGTGGATGTCTGCCCGTGTCTCCCCAAACACCTTGTGGGATGCCATATCATGGGTAAGGCTTCCCAGCTCTGTCCTTGACCTTCTGTGTGGATGAGAATGATCCTGCATGGTAATAAAGCCTAGAAACAAGAGCTAGGGCATCATTGTCCCCACACTCAAAATGTGAGTAACCCATGTCATTGGGGCATATTTGGGGGAGATATTGCGGCTCCTCTTCCCCTCTGCCCTATTTCTCCTTTCATTCAGTAAACATTTATTTAACACCTTCTCTGAGCCAGGCATTTTTGTTAGGCACTTGTGACACAGCTGAGAACAAGGTAGATGTTATCATTGAATAATACTAAATAGCTAACATGTTATATATTAATGTAGAATATTATGTATGCGTTATCTTGTTTAATCCTTATAAAAATCTTGCGAGGGAAATATAATCTCTGTTTTATAGATAAGGGAACTCAGGCTCTGGACCTTTAGGTAACATGCTTAAGGCCATACAGCTCTTAAGTAGAGAAACCAGGTTTATTTTGGAGCTCATGCTCTTAGCTACCATGCTCTACAGATTGGTTGCTATACTTAGTGTGGCTTTGTAAAAGCACCTAGTACAGATCCCAGTACAGAACAATAAATATTTGTTGACTCTGATGTATAAAGTTAGGTGCTCAGTAGTGAACATTAGGTCCAAGAAGGCAGAATCTTTGTCATCCAGGTTCTGCACACATCACTCTCATTTCTGTCACATCTCATCCCTGTCACTTTCATGCTGTGTGCTTTAGGCAAGACTTGACTTCCCCGAGCATCAGTTGTCTTATCTGTAAATTGGTGTCATCAGCGGAATGGAGCCTGGAATGTCTCCATGGTAGGGCCACTTCTCTCTGGTGCTGTGGACTAGGGGTATAACATACTTTGGAGAGGGGAGCATTTTCTCATTTTGTCAAAGATCTGAGCCCTAGAGCTATTCTACAGTGAATCCTTATAGAATCTGGGCTTGGATTCTGGGGGTCCTGATGCTGTCCCTCAGCTGTGTCACTGTTGTCCTTGTGAAAGGGTACGAGCTGTCCCAGTATTCTGGATACACGTCTCTGTTATTTACATGCTGGCATCTTCTCTTCCTTCCGGCCTCAGCTCACACATCACGCCTACAGAGAGGCTATCCTTAATGCCCTATTTTGTCAGACCTCCGTCTTATGCTCTGTGTAAACTCCTGATTTCTTTCTTTTTTTTTTTTTTTTTACATTTAGCATAATTTGTTGTTATTATATTTATTTCTCTGTGTACGTGAATTTTGTCTTTCTCCCTCAGTGAAGATATAAAGTCCGTAAGGACAGAGACGTGACTATCATCTTTCCCAGTGTACCCAGTGCCTGTTGTAATAAACAGGTATTTGGGTGTGGACAGGAAGGGGCAGGGAAAACCAAGCAGTCTCTGAGCTAGGAGCTAGCTTAGGTTTTCCACACACCTGTCAGAGAAGAGATACCTTCAACAAGCCTGTATGTGTGAATGTGTCTGTGGTGGGGTGGCTTGGTCAGAGAGAAAGGAAGAGTTGTGCCTCAGGCCAGAGAAAGAGAATGAACTTGATGGTGAGCCCTGACCTGTCACTGCATTTGTGGCCAAGCCCCAGCTTACCACATTATCTTTTTGCCTGCTTAGACTTTATTCATTCACTCCTTATGCATGTAATAAATACATGTGTGTATTTATTAGTGCTACATCTTAGCCTTCTTCTAGGCTCCAGGGATACGTGGGTGAACAAAACAGACATGATTCCTGTCCTCATGGTGCTTAGAGACTAACAGGAGAGACAGACCTTAGCTAAATAATTGTCGAGGTGATTACTTAAGTACCAGTGTGATCAGGGCTCTACCAGGCAAGTTTGGGCACCGGGAGGGTATTAGTTGGCCTCAGCCAGGAGTCACGAAAGGCTTCCCAAGGAAGTGGCGTTTGAGCTGAAGGGTGAGACTGAAGGAGGTAATTGGTGCAAAGCTGGGTCCCCAGTGTGCTGTCTTTCCCAGGGCACTCTGGCCGTGCTGGCACTGCAGCTGGCAAGGCAGATCCACTTCCAGTCGTCCCTGCCAGCAGGACCTCGACAAGCAGAGCACTGCTCTTGGCGCAGACCCCTGGACTGTTTCCTCTCATCTCCCTTGTGGCATCCGCGCTCCTGTGAGTTTTCAGTCCCAGGGACAGGAGGGCTAGGCTGGGAGTTTTTCTAGGCCAGGAAGCATCTCTGGACACACCTCAGGAAAAGAGCCATCAGCAGCTCCTTGCCTTTCCTATCTGAAGTCAGAGGAAGGGGAATGTGAGGAAGTTCTACCCACCCAGGGTGTGGACCACCCCTGCCCCTCACTATCGTCCCATGTCCTCCCCTCCCCTTCCATGAAGGGAGCCCCACAGGGATCGAGGCTGCTTTAGATCTTGGGTGTGGCTTCCTGCTTACCTTTCACCCATGACCCTTCAGGTCATTCTCTGGTCAGTCATTCATTACTAAGCGAATCTTCTTTGAATAATTACTATGTACCATGGTACACAGGCGATGCAACCCAGGGGTTAAGGCCCTGGAGTTAGTGTCAGGGTTCAGGCCCCATAGCTGGTGCATACTAGTCTTGTGTCCCTGAACAAGTCACTTTTAACTCCCCCATGCCTCAATTTTTTCATCCATAAGATGGGATAATAATAAAACCCACCTCATAGGTCTCTTGGGAGGATTAAATGAGTTAATACCTGTCAACGAGTTAGAACAGTGCCTGGCACACAGTAAGTACCCAGTAAGTATTAGTTTAAGGTCTTGTCCTTATGCTTATAATCATTATCAATATTACTATCAAATAGAGTGCCAGGTGTCGGGGCTACAACTGTGAGTGAGGTAGATGCCTCCTTGCCACTGGAAGAATTCAGGCAAATGAAGCATTTATACCTAGGGCAGGAGATCAGCATAAATGTAGGCCCCTCTTGACCCCAGCAAAGGAATTGGAGGAGGAGGTGGAGGTGTGTGAAGGAGGAAATTCCACATTCTTCCCCCGAACCTCAGGGAACACTCAGTCGAGCCTGAGCAGACTGAGCTGATCCCCTTCTGATGTGACTACTCTTACTGGGTCTTTCCAGCACTCCGGAGGCATATTCTCCCCAGCTCTGATGGCCCAGCTCCCAGGCACACTGGCCTTAGGGAACCCAGGCTGGGCCAGGAAGAACCCTCCACTCAGCCTGAGAACCTCTCTTCATACAGCTCCGTGAGGGCATCTGGTCTTCAGGGTCTCTCTGAAGAAGGTATGTTTTCACCACCTAGAGTCAGCCAGAGGTAGAGGGGGTGGGGACTGGGCAGATGGACATTTGTTGCTGCTTATGCCACATAAGGAAATTGTCATTCCTGTGAGGGCCCGTGCTTTCTGGGGCCCTTTGAATGATTTTGATTCCTGGTGGTGGTGCTGGCCAGAGGGGCCAGGGAGACTGGGGCAGTGGGAGAAAAGGAGAAACCACACTTTCTCCTTTACCCTGGCTGGGTGTCACCCATTTCCCTTGCAGACCCTAGTGATCTAGGCTTCCTGCATGCCAGCAGTAGCTTCAGATCCGGGGCAAAGCCAGCCCAGCCTGTGCCCACCGGACAAAAGCAGGTATGGTTCAGATGTGGCCTCCAGACCCTCAGCACATTCCCCTGGGCAGGTTGCAGTGTGAGTGAACCCTCCCATGATGAGTCTTTATATTTCTTCCCCAGGAACAAGATAAATCAAAAACTCTTTCCCTCGAGGAGGCTGTGACTTCCATTCAGCAGCTCTTCCAGCTCAGTGTTTCCATTGCTTTCAACTTCCTGGGTAACTGGGTGGACCTTGCATCAAGGCAGGCGGATGGGAGAACGGAAAGGGTATGGGGTTGGTCAAACAGAGTTAGGGCAGGGAGTGGTTTAAATTGAGAGAATTTATCTTCTCCCGGGTAGGTAGACTAGACCTGGCATGGTGGCACAGTGGTGTCAGGGACCCATCCTCATGATTCTGCCATTCTTAAAACTGACTTCCGTCTCAAGGTCCTGTTTGGCTATTGCAGCTTTCTTTCTGGAAGGGGATAGGTGGGAAAGCTAAAGGACTACTCCTTCCCCACTTAGAAAGTTGCACAAATCAGTGTCCAGGATGTAGGCCTCTGACCACACCTGGTCACAGAGGAGCCTGGGAAATGTAGTCTCTAGCTGAATGTCCATGTGCTTACCTGAACATTCTGTTACTGTGTAAGAAGCAGAAGAGAAATCTGGGAGGATACCTTGCGTTTGGTGAGAAGAGACTCCTAAGGTCTGGAGCAGGCTCTCAAATGCACAGACAGGAACTCTTACCCACGTCTGGAGACTCTAGATGCCCCTCCACCATTTGTTCTGTTCTCTGCAGTGACTTGGCTTAAGTTTCAGGCCTTTTAATGCAGCGACCCAGACTGCCAACAGCATCTGTTGGAGTGTATTGGGCAGATGCATGAGAAGGTGGGCTTCTTTCAGCACAAAGCTGTTAAGCATTCACCTTTTCTAGGCCCTCTTTTAGGTGTCAGGGATACAGTGATTCATGAGACAGAGTTCTTACTGTCATGGAGCTGACGTGTGAATTGAGGGGGAGAAGAATAAAACATTGCCAAATAAATAAAAAAGAATTTCAGATGATGGTGAATGTTAGAATTGTAAACAGGGGAATGTGTCAGTGACTCGGGGAAGGAGCAGCTTTTGATTTGGAAGTCCTCACTGATGGGAAGAACTCTGTGCCAAGACCTGACTGACAAAAACAAGCCAGTCATGTTTCTGTATAGAGAAATAGCTTTCCAAACAGGGGGAACAGCTAGTACAAAGGTCCTGAGGCAGTATTGAGTTTTGCTTGTGAAAGGAATAAAAGAAAGGTGAGTGTGGCTGCAACTTAGAAATCACCAGGAGAGTAGAAACAGATGAAGTGAGAGAAGGAGGAAGGGGCTAGGTTAGGCAAGGCCTTCTGAGCCACTGTGGAGTGTGGATTTTCTAAGGGAGATCAGAAGCCATTGGAGGGTTTTACAGTGGAAGAGGAGGAGGGCAGTCACATGATCTGATGTACTTTTTCAGATTTCTCTGGCTGTTGTGTGGACAAATGTGGAGTGCAGGCATGCCAGAGGAAACAGGAGACTGGGTTGGAGCTGTTACTGATGGCATAGCAAAGCGTCATGGTGGCTTGGTCTAGGTTAGAGGCAGAGGGGACAGAGAAGAGAGATGGATCGAGGAGCCAGTGTGGACAATGGGGACAGGGGTGGGATCCTTTGCCCTCTTGAGTCTTCTCAAGGGCAGAGGGCTCTGTGCATCCTGGACAGCAAATTTTCAGGCAGCAGGGAGGTAACTTTAATTCACTGCTGGCTGAATGGAACCTGGCTTCTACCTCATTAGCTTTTTGTGATTTTGATGGGCCGACAGTCTCTTCTGAGGATTTTCTTGCCCATTCCTTCATTCATATATTCATTTATTCAGCAATGCTAAGCAGTGTGGCAGAACACAAAGGGAGCACAAGCCATCATCATATTTTGCATTTGTATAGAGCTTTCACCCTATGCGAAGTTATTTCTTCTACATTCTTTTTCTGCTTCTGCCTCCAGGATTTTGCAGTCTAATTGAGGAGACAGGGCTTGTACTCTGGAAACAGTTTAGTTCATGGAAAAAGGCTTGTATACTGAGTAAAAACCAAAAGAGTGTTTGAAGCCTGAGTGTGGTCTGAAGCTTCCAGAGCAGAGGCAGAATGGGAAAGTCTGATGGTGGAGGCAGAAAGATAGCCCAGGGAGGAGAGACAACTTGAGCAAAGGTTTGAGTTGGGACTTGGCTGTGCCCAGCCCCGTCTGTGTTTTCTGTTTGCTCATTTGTTTGGATGATAAAACGGAACGTGGGTTTTGCTGTCCGGACACACCTGAGTTCAGGTCACAGCTGTCTTACTTTCTCTCTCTCACGGGTTCCTCCTAAAGCAGGATTAACAGTATCAGCTGTTATCAATTCGATCTAGTTCATTACAAGCAGCCTAAGCCCACTCTGGCTAACTTAAGCACAAAAGGAATCTACTGGGATCTGTTGATCTGCCAAATCTCAGGACAGGAATAGAGAAGGTCCGGGGATCCAGGCGGCAGTAACTGAGGGACAGTGTCTTCAGAGTTTTGCTGTCAGAATAAACCTGCAAAAGCTATTTTCTCTCCTGCCTCAACCAGATCAGGATTCAGATTCCTGAGTGAGGGACTTACTGGTTGGGAAGAGCATAGCACAACGATTGATAGCACTGGGCAGCGGGGAGGAGGGCTGCTCTCCAAGGAAAACTGGGGTGCTGGTACCAAGAGGAGGATGTTGTATAGGAGGGCAGAACCCACTGATGTCTCTGGCAAACCAGTGAAATATTTGGAGGCTGGAAACATATGCAGAGTGTCTAGCACAAAAAAGAAAGGAAGCAGCTTATGAGGATCTGGGCAAGGATGTGGGGAGGTTCACAGAGGAAGTTGTGTTTACACTCTGTGCTTTCTTACAGGGACAGAGAACATGAGGAATGGGGACTACACGGCAGCCTTTTCCTACTTCCAGAAAGCAGCAGACCGTGGCTACAGCAAAGCACAGTACAATGTGGGCTTGTGTCATGAGCATGGCAGAGGCACCCCCAGGGACCTTGGCAAGGTACTGCACCTCCTCTTTGTCCCCAGGCCTGTCTCCTGAGCTGCCCTGCCCAAAGTCGACCTCCAGAAATGAGCGGCAGGAGGGCTTGGGGAGAGTTCACCTTCTCTCTCCCAGCCATGAGGGAAAAAGAAGACAGAAGCTTCTAACTTGCAGGAATTTAGATTCAGAAGGAGGCCAGGGACCTTGTCTTTTTTCTTTGCAGCTGTATCCTCAGGACCTAGAACCTTACCTTGATGAATGGATTAATTCATTGTAAAAATGTAGGATAAGTACGCAAAGATGTTATATATATATAAGAATGTACTTTTCTTAGAATTGTATATGATGGCAAAAAAAAAAAAAGGGAAAGCAACTTGAAGTTATTCAATAGTAAGTTGGTTAATAATATCTATGTGGGCCTTAAAAAATGATGCACCAAGGGCAGCTGGGTGGCTCATTTGGTTGAACATATGACTCTTGATTTTGGCTCAGGTCATGATTTCACGGTTCCTGAGTTTGAGCTCCATGCCAGGCTCTGTGCTGTGATTCTCTCTCTCCTTCTCTAGCTGCTCCTGCCCTGGTCTCTCAAAATAAGTAAATATTTTTAAAAAATGATGCACTAGATCTATGTTTACTGGCAGGGAAAGATATTCATAGTGTATTGTTAAATGGAAAAATAGATTACAAAAGTGTGAATGTTCTCTCTCACTGTTTCTCCCTATACACACACACATACACACATTTATATGTATATGTGTGTGTGCGTGTATATGTGTACATGTATAAATACACATATATGTGGGAAGAAATTTGCAAAGCTGTAAAGTAAAAGTGAACAGAGAATGATCTTTAGGAGGCAGGATTGGGGGGGGATTTTATGTTTCTATTTTTGGTTTATCTGTATTTTGAAATTTTGGCTTATCTATTTTCTGATGAATCTGTAATGATGATGTATTATTTAATTAAAATAGTTTTTACAAATTTCGCTCAAAGAGAAGGCTGGCTTGCAGAGGTATCAGTTGATTAGGTGTCCCTCCCTTTGTCCCAGGCAGTTCTTTTTTACCAGCTGGCTGCCAGCCAGGGTCACCGCCTGGCTCAGTACCGTTACGCCAGGTGCCTGTTGCAAGGCCCAGCCTCCACTTGGGATCCTGAGTGCCAGAGGGCAGTGTCCATGCTTAAGCAGGCTGCACACTCGGGCTTGAGAGAGGTGAGTGCCCAGGGTAGGGGTGGGGAGTCTCTCCTGGGCTCCTAGAGTATGCGGGGCCTGAAAGTGATGGAAATGCCTTTTTCCTTCCTCCTGAACCACAGGCTCAAGCTTTCCTCGGGGTGCTTTTCACCAAGGAGCCACACCTGGATGAGCAGAGAGCTGTGAAATACCTTTGGCTTGCGGCCAACAATGGGGTATGGGATTGCCAGTGTCCACACATGTTGGGGGTCGAGTCTGCTGAAAGAGGGAATCTTGGAACTGGTACCAGGCTCTGCTGTGCATAGGAGAGGGTTGACAGGAACGCTGGGCCAGCTTCAGGTCTTAACTGTTGCTGACTTACTGTGTGACCCTTGGGCAGGTTTAGTGGGGCCCTGGAGTTGGCTGACAGCAATCTGTGAACGCTGTCGGTAGTTTAAAATCAGCTGTGGGTGGAGTATTTGCACCACAGAAATGACTGCATGCTCCAGAGCAAGGCCTGTTTCACTGCAGAGCCAGTTGCTACCCTTACCAGCATATTCCTGAGCCGGTCACTTCTTGTTCTCCTCATCTGGAAAATTGCGATGGAATGACTGCCTCACCTGTCGACTGCTTCACGGGTGTTGTTGTGAGGATCAAAATCTAACTGAGGTAGCAGGTGTGTGAGTGCTTGGTCAGTTGAGCACAGAGAAGGTGCACCCTCCTGGACGGTGCAGTTTGGGGAAGTCAGAAGACACTGCACAGTTTCAGGGGTGGCAGGTGTTTGGGGGCCTTGGCATCCAGGCTGCAGGACCGTGAGTTTGTTCCCCAGAGTGTTAGTTTCATGGGGTGTTTATAATAGGAAGGAAAACATGGTCAGATGGGTTTGGGAAATGCTGCACTAAACAGGTGTCTTCAGTGCAGGTGATCTCAAAGCTTCACCTCAGTGTGAATCACCAAAAAGGCGTCTGTGGTTTGCTGTATTCCTGAAATGTACTTGAACAGGACTTTTTTGGGCACTGCGTGCTGAAAGATCAGGAGTAGTGGATTAAAGCAAACCATGTGCATGTACTGGAATTTCCCTGCACTGGGGCTGCTGATTCTCGGTGTATTCTGGCCAACATAGTGGTACCTGACTGGACTCTTGGGCATCAGAATACTTTTTTGTTTTTACTCTGTTACCTGTAGTAGCTTTCAGAAGGGGACCAGTGTCACCAACTAGTACTGCCTCTGTGCCTGCCTTCCTTGATGGAGTCCCAGCTCTATCTCGGGCTGAGTGTGCTTCACCGTCTCATGTGCTAGACATGCCTGAGGGCACCTTGGTCCACTTCGGTCAGGACACTGGGAGAAATGCACAGAGGGTGTTGGGCACGGTCCTGACACACACACCCACCCCCCCGGGAGTAATTGTGTCTTTGTAGGTTTGTACTGAGCAGTGTTGCAGGGTGGCTGTTTTGGCCTTAGGAATGTGCAGCGCTGTGTTCTAAGCTGGTCTACGGTCATGAGTCCACCATATTTATTACATAGACTTTGCCCTGCAAGTTACAGAAACTCTCTCAAGAAATTGGACTCTGGAAATTAGAAGAGAAATGAGACCATGGTTGGGAATCAACAGAGTTTTTTTTTTTTTTTTTTTTTTTTTTTTTTTTTTTTTTTTTTTTCTTTTAAGTTGGGTGCTTGAATATAATAATTTTCCAGTAAAGAGGGAGAGATTAAAATCTCTTTAGGGCGGGGCGCCTGGGTGGCTTGGTCAGTTAAGGTGGGTGTTATTATTTCCCACTTTATAGACGAGGACGCTGAGGCACAGGGGCATAGAATAATATGCCTGAGGTTACGTAGCTGGTAAGTGATAGAGCCAAGATTGGAACCCAGAGAGTCTGGCTATATAGGTTGTTCTCTTAAGCCCTACCTGCTAATGCCTCTCTAAGGATCATAGTTTTCAGTGAGAGGAGAGAGGATCCAGCATTTTGGGAAAAGGGATTATTAGACTTTTAACCTTTCAAAGGAGGGACACTCTCTGTAGTGTATGTTTTGCAGCCCCTGGGCAGAGATTCAGAAAGGCATTTGGGGCCTTTGAGAAGCCTAGCCTCTACCCTGGCTCCTGGCTCTTCTAGCCTAACTAGGAGCCTGACTCCCAGGTTCCCCACAGTTGGGTTGGTCGTTCCCGTGGCCGTCACTTCTGTCTGCCTTCAGCATCAGCCTCAGCGAGAGGCTGCCACACTGCCACTCGAATCTCCCTGGGCAGAGGGATCCCCGGCTCCTCTGTGTTGGCACACTCTGGGCCTCTGGCTTTTCATACTTGAGATCCCTTGGTACAGGGGGGACTGGGACTGGACCTTGAACCTATATGGATGAAGCCCCAGCTTGCCTGACTACCCCACCTTCCTCTTGCCTTAGCATTTCAGTTCTTCTCTCCTGCATGTGTGCATATCTGTACAGCTGTCTATTTTCCCTTTTAGGACTCACAGAGCAGATACCACTTGGGAATTTGCTATGAGAAGGGCCTTGGTGTGCAGAGGAATCTGGGAGAGGCTATAAGATGTTATCAGCAGTCAGCGGCTCTGGGCAATGAACCTGCCAGGGAAAGGTTGCGGACCCTCTTTTCCATGGAAGCAGTGGTTAAAGGTGCATGTCAGAGCCAACAAGTTCCCTTCCCTGAGCTCAGTGCCCTGTGACAGAGAAGGGGGTGGCAGTAGTCCTTGGTCTCCTTGGCATTTCTTGCCCCAGTAATGGGTAAGAGCACAGCTTTTTGAGTCAGACACACCTGAGCTTTAAGAAGCCTGCTATGTCACTGAACTCGGACTCCATGTCTTTGAAAATGACGTGGTTCTTCACTTCTGAAAATGAGGGTACTACTAGTACCTTACTTGTTCGGTTGTAAGGATTAAATGAGATGGTTCTAGAGGGCTTGGCACAACCTGGCATACAGCGGGTGTTGAATAAATGGTAGCCTTCCTGAGGATTTTTCAGGAGAGACCGTATCCTGAGATTGCCTCAGTGCCCTGAATTACCCTTCGAGGGCTCTGAGTGCTCACTCCTGAGTCACTCGGGCTGGCCGGGGTTAACAACGCCAGGGGCAACCAAGCCCGTTAAGAAGTCCTTGCTCCAAAGTTAAGAACCCACAGTATGAGTAAGAGTCGCTCTCACCTCTCCTCACAGCCCTGGGGCCCAGCGATTTGGCAGTTAAAGGATTGAAGTCCTTCTCCAGCCCCTCCCTCTGCAGCCTCAACACTCTGCTGGCGGGAGCCTCACGCCTCCCACACGCCTCGAGCACAGGGAACCTTGGCCTCCTCTGTAGAAGTGGGCGTCTCGGAGCCAGTCCCAGGGGAGCTCTTCCCCCACACAACTACCCTTTGGAAAGGAGTCTCGTCAGACTGGGTTTTGGCTAAGGTAAGATAAGACATAGTTACTGGTGCTGGGGTGGGGAGGGTGCACAGGTTGGATGGCAACAAAAATAGGTGTCAGTGTCCCTTTCTGAGGTGGACATTCCAGCGAGAGCTGAGGTTCTCAAGCAATTTCAAGTGCTGGCTAATAAATGACTTTGACCTTTCCTCCAGTTGGTAGCCTCACAGGTGGGCAGTGGAAACATTGATAGTTATTTCTGGTTCTGTGCACGAAAGGGATTCATTCAGTGACCTGTAAAAAACTCTCCTGAAGGTTCCAGAGTCTTATCATAGCCTGTGACTGAGTAAACCACTTACATATTCTTTCCCATGTCTCAGTTTCCTTAGGCTTAGACTGCATGACAGATGTTTGCCAACATCTGACGTATGTGCTTCTGGAGGTTCATAAGAGGATTTTAGGTACTCTAATATTTTCTATCTTAGTAGTTGTATATTTAATATATAATGTAAAATGTGACTAGCACATTATAGTTTCACAGATATTAAAAACGATCCATTTAAAGAAAAACATTGTGAAATTGGATAAAAGGGAGCACAGGTCCCACCCATGGTGGTTCCATGAATGGCTAAAACTTGAGGAACACTGAGTCAGGCCATTCCCAAGATGGGCTTCCGTATTCACTTTTGTTCGTCCCCAGTGGAGTTAGGATCATCTTCATCACTGATTCGGGAGGAATGAGTTTCTTGCCTACATACCTAATATGTCTGCTTGACTTTTTCAGACCTTCTCACTTCAGCCCTAAAGATGGAGCCTGTGGCTTCTCTGTTACAACTTGAGTCCCAAAGCAGAGGCCAGATATCTACACAACTTCCCAAAGAAACTTAAGCATCTGCCCCAGCATAGTAAAGAAGAAGAAAGTGTGTAAAGACCCAGGTCCTGGCCATGTCACCTTGCCTGGCCGTGTCTCCTTATGAAGCAGTGACCTGACCCACTACATTGTTTTCTCAGTTGTTGACCGAAGGCATTGGTGTATGTCCTTTGACCCTACAGAGCTCATGGGGGGCATTTCACTGCAGAAAGGGCCTTGGTGACCACTTAGGCCCAATGAGGCAGACTGTTGCCCGTGGTTGTATGGCTTTATGAGTCACCAGGCCAGGAGAAGACCAGGCCCCCTCACTCCTGGCTCAGGGCTCTGTTTTGCCAGTTCACACTAGCTTTATGTGTTACTGTCACATCTCTCCAATGTGAGGGAGTAAGTGGAGGCTTGGAGCAGGAAAGTGTAGATTTTGAGATCCTTGTTTGTGAAGGGTGTGCCAGAAATGGATGGGAGTTTAATAAAATAGATACTGGATTATCTCATCACTCTTGCCTTTGAGTATGTTGGGGAGAGCCGGGGGTGGGGCAGGGGGAGCCGAAAGCAGAGGCTCCCACCTCATCTCTAAACTCTCCATTAACCAATTTGAAGGGTCTTAAAAGCTTCTCCAAGGGAGAGACTTAGGAAAAAATGATTTCTGAGTCAACGCTAATGACTCCAATTACTGAATCTGTGAATAGCTATTCCCTGGCTTCTGGATGTTAGCCCAAGTTCAATAGCATGGATGTGGTTGAGGGTAGGGAGTGGGAGGGACCAAACCCTCTAGTAACTGTTCAGATGTGAAAGATCACCCAGCTTGGCCAGTTCAACAGTGGAAGGAGTTGGGGGTGGAGGTTGTCTTCTCTGCTGCCCACCCCTCTCACCAACCTCCAGTGGCTCCTGCCACACTTTTCCAGCACTTTCCTCTTGTCATGGGGGCCCTAGGCTTCTTTCAACTTTAGTATCTCCCCTGACTGCTACTCCCTTTCCAGAGCTGCCCTGCACGCTGGCCTTCCCACCCCCACACTGATCCCCTCATGCGGCTGCCTCCCACAGATGTCTCCTTGGGATCTGGGACCTTGTCTTTGTATTCTGGTATCCTCAGCACTTAGCACAAGGCCCACGCTAGTAGGGGCTCAATACACACATTGGTTAAAGGTTAGGTTTTTAAGCTGTACGATGCACTAATCTCTGCAAGAAAAAAAAAGTTTCTGTGGTCAAATAAGTTTGGGAAACACTATACCAGACATCCCTTTTTTTATAGATTTACAGTGTACATCAGCATCTTTAAGGTTTCAAGAAGTCCTGCAGTAAAGAACTTGGTTAACCCCGTGTTTGCCAGCCTGAGCCAAGCACAGAGCCCAGCCACACACAGATTGCCGATCAAACTTCCTGGGGCACCTTCTGTAAAATGTCATTTCCTGCCCTCCTGTGGGACCCTACTCTCCAGTCTCCTCCCCTCCTCTTTTCATTTTGGCTTACCGATTCCTTCTGGGGAAGGAGTGGCAGTTCAGACAGCCGTGGGACAGCGGGTGTCCCGTGTTGAGGGCCAGATGCAGCTCTCCTTCCCCCTCAGTCATTACAAGTTAAGTACTGATCCAATTTGGGGTGCTAAACGTGGAGGTAGGATATTTTTAAGCTCTCCTTGTGGAAAGGCAGGATGGAAGAGTCATGAGAGCAATGTTGTCAAGGGACCAGAAATCCTTGGCTGTTCAGTCACTGCGGTCTCCGTCCATCCCCAAGGGGTGGGCCTTCATCCACAGACCCAGGCACTTCTGTGCTTTCGCCATTACAATTCCATTGTTAATGACTTGTCATCAGTGTCCTGAAAGGAAATATGAGGTGGGGAGGACAGGGGAGTGGCCCCTGCCTGGGTTAGGTACAGGGTGACCCAAGTTTCAGGACCTGGTGCCCTTCAGCAGTGAGACTTTTGTGCGAGGCTGTGCTCAGTTCCCTTATCCAGAGATGTTGCTTTCAGGGATCCTTGACACAGTGCAGACAAGGCTGTTCGATTCATTATATCTTCAGTGCTAATACAGTGCAGGGTACTTAGTAAATGTTCAGTAAATATCTGTTGAAGGAATGAGTGATTTTATGCATTGCCCCCTTTCCACCCAGTTCCTTGCACCAAGCCTACCTAGCACATAGTAAGTGCTTTAAATATTTGTCGACTCCATGATTCTGTATACTCCCCACTGCTACTTCCAGTGCTACTTCTGACACCTAGTAATTGCTCAATAAATACAAAGTGTTTGTTGAATGAGTGTTTCTGGTCATGCCTCCGTCCTCCCCTGCCCCATTACGTCATACTCCATACTTAGTAGGAGCTGGAAAAGGCTGACCTATTTTCTTGGTGCATACTGTGTGCCAGGCCGAGCCCATGCTAAAACACCTCCCTCCCCCTCCTGTCTTCCTTTTGGGATATAGTTCTCTCCGGAGTCCCATGGGTAGTGGTTGCCATCTCACTCTTGTTTTAGCCAGAGGAGAGGTAGGGTCAGTGAGCTGCCAAGCTGAAGTTGGGTGACAGACAAGGAGGCTGCCTGTCAATCTCTGAGCTGCCCCCAGGCTCCAAGTGAGCACTGCATCACACTCCTCATGCTGGAGAACCGGCTGACTGTTGATTAAAAAAAAAAAAAAAAAAAAAAAGTCCCTCTGCGCTTTCCAAATTAAGACGACATTTAACTGAGTGCTTGCTGGCTTGCCTGCTCCCTTGATATCCCAGGGGATTGAGCCCATCTTGGTGAAAACTGTTCTGAGCACGTCCGAAGTCTCAGCTTTGACATCTTGGTTGATGCGAAGAAGTTTCTGTAACCTTTCTGCTCAGCACGCTCAATTCTGTCGCCATACACACTGTGTCGCTCAGCCTGTTCATGGGAAAGTGCTGGGTGTTCCCATGCTAGGAGTTGGTTGCATGCTGCAGACGAGAGCACCTACATACATCCCCACTCTGACCAGAGATCAGTTGCCTCAGAACAGAAACAGCTCTACCCATGAATTCCTTAGGGTCTGCGGAGAAGGCAGAGCCGAGGACCAACAGAGAGGATCACAGTGGTCCTTAATCTTATTGAGGCCCCAGACCCCCTTTGAAAATGTGGTAAAAGCACTGACTCCTTCCCATACAAAAGTATGCAGCCCTTCAATTTTGCATGCACTTTAGCGGATTTATAGATCTTGAAGCCCAACCATGGACTCCAGGTTAAGAACCGTTGATTTATTAGAAAGAACAACACACAAATTCCAGATCCAGATCCTAGCCCTGCCACAAGCCCGCCGTGCAGCTTTGTGCAGATCAGAAGTGTCTTGCTTTTTTCTTGGCTATAAAATGTTCTGGCTCCTTACGAGTAAAATTGCTTGTGTTTGTGGAGGTTTAGGGAGGGACTTAGACAAGGTGCAGTATAACCTTTCATAGGTTACTTGTTCCTTTGGGACTCTGATGAGGACTTTGCATCTTCTGCCTAGAAAAACACCTATGCACAAGGCTTTGCCTAGTATTCTCAAGGTCCAAGAGCTACAGATTAGGGATTTTTGAACTAGAGTGAAGCAGTGATCAAGGGCATCCAGTGATCCACTTGACAGCCACAGTTCCAGCTTTCTTTTTAATTAATTAATTTGGCTCCGGGTTTCTTAGGTTGGCTCTTCCCCCATCTCTTCTTTTCTCCACCCTCCCAACATGAGCTCTGCATCAAAAATCCACTAGTAATTGTGGGTGGAGAGTGGCGGTCAGCATAGTTTACTCTAGTTCTGTGGTTTTCAGACTTTGATTCCCATAATGGAAGTTTTCTTTCTTTCTTTCTAATGACGTCTTACCTGCAGCTCCAATACAGATAAAAGGAAACTCTGAAGCACTGATTTATCCATTTATTCACTCATTCATTCAACAAGTTAAGTATATATCCATTGTTGCTTTGTGCCAGTCACCTGGCTGGTCAGGCTTGAGACCCTGTCTGCTTAGTTTCCCCTGGCCTCTCTCATTTACTTTGGGAACCCAATAGCTTAAAATTCACAGATCTTGTAAGGAGATCACTTGGGCCTAAAGTGAGGTGACACACACCCAGAGACCCTGCTCTTGGGGCACTTAACTTTTGGGGGCCTCATTTTCCTCATCTGTAAAATGGAATAACTGGATAAGGGTGCCACATTGGATTCCAAATATATATGATTTTCATTATCCCTGGCTGGGAGTATGATTGGCCTGTTACTGTGGACAATGAACATAAGTACTGGCTTCCAACAGAGAACGAAAGGAGGAGCACGGAGAGGAATTTTTGCCTGTAGTGCAAGGAGGGCCCCATGCTACCGAGAAGCTGAATGGCTAGCTGACTGACTGCTTGGAAATTTCCAGGAAAATTATAAGGCTGAGACTTGGAAAAATATTTGCTATTTCTTCGCTCCCTCCTGCCCTGGAAGTTTTGCTGCTGTCAGTATCGATTTCATAGACCCAGTTCATACACTGTTCTCTAGGGCCTGAATTCACAGGCCCAAACCTGCTGTGACAGAGGAAGATTTACCCATGAACGGTGCGTCTGCAAGGATGACGTCTGTACCTGAAGGGCTAATCTCTGGGAAAGCACAGGAGCCTGCAGAAGCTCAGGCCCGTGTCAGATTAGATCCAAGTCCCTCTTGTTCTGTGCTCAGAAATGCAGAGCTGTGGAGGCCTGAGCAGCTTTGGAAATGTTCTTTTCAACAGTGTTTCATGAGGGGAGCTCAGGTAAGTCCACACCTGGCTCAGCTCAGCTGCGGGGACTTTTCCTTTCCTCTCCTTGGCGGGCAGTGTAGTGTCAAAGTGGAGGGCAGAGGTTTTGGTGTTGAAGACTAGTTCCAAAGCTTGCTTCTGCCTCCACTCTTGATCTTGGGCAAGACACTCTGCTTCTCCAAGCCTCACGTCCTTGCCTGTGGAATGGGGATAATAACACCTCCCTCCCAAGGTTGTTGGGAAATTAAATCCTAGCATAAAGCCCAGGGCTTTACTGGCTCACATAAATGCTCTATAAATAGTCATGCTTTTCTTAGCCCTAATTTTCCAGCTGAGAAGCAGATTATTTGATAAGGTAGCAATAGGGAAGTAAGGTCAAGAGCACACGTGTTCATCATTGTGTACCTAGCACTGTGTACTAATGTGCCCTATTCCTGTCCACGTCCAGCATACCATCTTGCCAGGAAATGGGCAACAAGGACCCCTCACTCTGCTACCCTTCCCCTGCCCCCTCTTGACAGGTGCAAACAGGAGAATGAGCCAGTGCTTTTCCTTTATTAGTAGGTCAGAGAGCTTTGCCTGGCACCCCAGGAGCAGCACCCCACCCCCAACTATGCGATGAGGCCATCCTTTCCTGCTTATGACACTCCTTGGCATCTGTTCCACAGGAGGCCTGACCCTCTGTGCTGTACATGTGTTTTGCCAACAAACACTCATTTCAGCCAAAAAATTCACTCCAAAAAGTTCACAGGCAGAGCCAGCCCTTCACAAGGGGCTGCTTTGGTCAGTCAGATATTAGTCGTGGCTCCCCTGCCTCCTCTGTGGGGCAGCATAGGTCACCCTAAAGTTCTTGGGCCACCTCTCAACAGTGAATTCAAGGATTTTAGAAAGCAGCTCGTGTCCCAGGATCCTTAGAGCCTGGGCTCCCTAACATCCCTGGTTCTTGGATCCACAGCCCCCTGCTGCTGCTGCTGCTGCCAGTCCTGCCCTCGGCCCCCTTCTTTCCACCTGGGCCCCCCTGTCCTTCTGCGCCCGAGGCCCCGCTGGTGGCCAGGTCCAGACTGAGGGTCCTCCCGCAGACGGAGAGCCTCCGCAGCACCTCAGAGGCAGCCTCCACAGGCACGCTGGAGCGTTGTTCGAGCAGCATTTCCAACAGTGAGCTCATCTCCGAGACAAAGGTGCTGGCCAGCTGCGTGCCTGTCAGGCTCAGCTCAGGCCCTGTCGCCTTGCCGAACGTCTGAAAGGTCCTCGGCTCCTCCATGGCCGGAGTGTCTGGTGAGAACACGTTGTCACGGTAGTTCGTGGTGAGGGGCAAAGAGAGCCTCGCCATCCAGGCCGGGTCAGGGACGCTCAGCCGGTCCAGGGCCAAGCCTGCATGGGAAGGAGGGGACGCAGTGAGGGCTGGGCCCTGGGAAGGGCCAGGCAGGCCAGGGTGGGGCTGTGGGCAGGGCAAGGGCAATGGACAAAGGAGGGAAGGGAAATGGCGGGGGACAGACGGGGAGGCCAGAGGGGGACGGGAAGGAAGAGGCCCTGACAGGGAAGCTTGCTGGGCAGGAAGGCTGCTGACTGAAGTACCCACACGAGCTGAGTAGGGAGGAGGCAGGAGGAGGAAGAAGACCTTGAATTAGAAATTGGCCCTTTCCTGAAGAATTTCCTGGGCCTGGTGTGTTTCAGGCTGGGTGTCTTCCATCTACTCGGGTAGTCGGGATCCTCACTCCCTCAGGGCACTAGTAGGTGAAGATGGCATTGCCAGGGG